GCATCGACTCCTGCTACCACTTTGAGGAGGTCAGTTTCATCATGTTTGAAATGTAAAATGAGAGACTACTTTTAAGGCGTGATTCAAAGGATAATAACGATCCGGTTGCTCAGCAGGTTTACACATACAAGGAATCTGCTTTGGTGTATGATGTTGCAAACATAAACACAGTAAGGCGAGGCGAGACACGTTTTTTCAGAGTTTAACAACATGGCAAAAAACCAGGCTCTAGAAAAAACATTACTGGTATTAAGATATAGTGCCAAGAAGACACATTATAAAATTACATTTAAATACATACAAATCCACCAGAACTAGAAAATCAAACTTAGTAAGACAGATACAAAATAAAAGGATACAAATAATAATAGTGCAGTGTAAGATATGAATACAGGGGAATAAAGTTGTAAAAGAAAATAGCAAATATAAACTATAATAAAAACCATAATACTAAAATAAAAGTACAAGAAATATACATTAAGAAAAAGGAAATACAATAATAAATTAATGCGAAGAAAATATTTGCAGTATATCAGAATTGAAGAGCAGCTTTTAGCATTATGCAAAAAGGGAAACAATGAAAATAATTAACCTAATGGTTGATATCGGGCTGATTTGCTGCACACAATTCTATTAGAATAAGTTAAAATGTTGTGAGAACGCCTATTCGCTTTCTCGCAACCCCTTGGCAAGAAAGCAAATACTTTTTTAGTAACAACCGTTAATGTTTTCTCTGCTGCACAGTGAGTATTCACATGGATGAGATGTCTGTGCATCACACAGCTCCATTGAAGCTTCTCCTGCGTCCCCCCCTTCTTGTGTTTTCCCCTTCTCCATCAATAATGTGATGCAGGCGAGATTACCGCACCCCCCCCCCCCCCCCATCAGATGAGTCAGTCCTTAAGGGCTGTTGCTAGGTGATGGTCTAAATTGTTGCCTTGGCATCCACTATTTACGGGGATTTCTCAGTGTTTCAAGTTGGATTCAGACAAACAGACAAAAGCCGAGGCAGGAAATAATAAGCAGGGCAAATGACTTGAGGGCAGAGATGCAGAGCGTAGATAGCCCATGTGTTCATTTATCCTCATTAAGACTGAGCAATTATGATCATGTGCTCAGGGAGTCAATGCAAAACTGGTGCAGGTAAGATTATCCATTAAGCTGTATTAACCAAGGAAACGTAATGTTATCGTGCTGCTTTATTATTTATTCATGGATACAATAACGTGTCGAAAAAGCAAGCTGGTAATAAAGATAACCTCTAATGAAGTGTTAGACATGTTTTTCGCATTAATGATACTTGTAAAAACAAACCTAAAAATAGGAGGAAAACATCACATTGTGCACATCCGTTCTGCTCCTCTGTGTTCTGTCAGGCGACTGATGCCATGAAGCGAATGCACGAACGCCAAAACATCGGGAAAGTCATCCTTCTTCCTGAAGCGAAGGAAGAGGTGCCAAAGTCCAACCCTGAGCCGGTAGAAAATGTGGAAAAAACTGAAGCTGCCGTCAACGAGAAGAAGGAAGAGACCACAGAGGAAGTTAAAGCCGAGGATTGAGTAAGAGTGTCTATTTGAGTGATATTTTCAAGCACTTCCTGAATGCGATCCCTATTGTTCACTTGTCAAAAAGAGAAGAAAAAGCAGGATGCCATGAATTTGTTGACTTTTGTCAGTATTTTCAAATGTTTATGAAGATTTTGTTGTGCAATATGTCGATAGTGTGGTATCTATGTTGGGAAATTTGTGTTTAAAGAAAAAATAACAAAGTATTGTTTTACATTACGTGAGGAAAAATGAATTCTGCTAAAAATGTAAGGGTGTGGCTGCAAAAACAAGGTCCCATTGACAACAGCTTAGCAAACCTTAACAAACCAGGGCCTGTATGTATAAAATGGTCCTATAAAAGGATAAGAAATGTTTAAATAAAACTCAGCTCTGTCTCAAGAAGCTGATAGAATTGCATTAGGTTCCCAGTCAGGGATCAGATTACCAGTCATGCAGTGTAGCCAACGTTACATATGCTTCACTGCACTGCAGTATGCAAGAGTAAGCTTATCGGTGGAAAAAAACTCCTACATATTACAGCTACTTTCTATTCTACATAAAAATAAATTAGTTAAAGAAGAAGATAAAACAGTAGGGAAATAGCATCATTACATCATTCGTAGAATTTTGACTAATTTAAGATAAATTGACATGCCTGCCCTGATTCTGCCTTTTTTCCGCGTCAAACCTCAAACCTGGCAATGTGACTCTAATGAAATCAGAGTGTCAGTTCTTGTAGTTCATTGAATCCTGTTACAAATGATTAATCTATCAGGAATCTGTTCTAAAACTTGCCAACCTAAGCTTGTTATCAGTTATTTGTAGTGTAAGACTTGTTAGTAAAAGATGGTTATGATGCACTCAAATGTCTTGTTGATGGAGGTTATTAAACAATAGGTCAGTATTGTATTATAGTTGAAATTGTTAGGTGTTTCTCACATATTTGTGCCAAATATAAAGCCAGCTTTTACCACTGCCGTCAAGCCAACTGTGAATAACAATTAGCGGGACTTCCATGCCTTGGCACTCGTTGCCTCTGGGTTTTCTTCCAATAATGTCGTGCTGAATTTGAGATTCAACTTTTGGCAGAGCCTTGTTAAGGAAGGGTTTCCACCTTGGTTTATTTTAGCTGTTTCTCAAATCCTACGTTGCCTGTTTAAAGTAAAAAATGGTGCCGTGTTTACAAAAAAAGTTATGGAAAAAACTGAGATAATTCTTTGCTTTCATGCGTTTTTGTTTTTCAGTGCTTTATACATATTCATTTAGCTCCTGCAATATAGTAATGGTTTATTAGGCTTCATTCTTCTCAGTAATCATTTGTAATATCTCATCTGTTTCTTTGAGTGCATAACCTCAAATAGTGGGCTCAGTAATTCAGATGTTTTGTCCAGCTGTGGGTGTAATACAATGCTGTGACGCAGAAGACGCTACCGAAGCACAAGAGAAAGAGTTTTCCTCCCATCCTCACCGAGCAGCTGCTCACATTCCTCCCTCCACCCTCAGTCATGCTCTCTGTCTCGCTCTGTGGCCGAACCTTCTCAAAACTCCCTCTTCACTCTGCTTTGAAAGACGCACTTGGAAACACAGATAATGCTTTATGTTTTTTACATCTGGGACATTTTTTCTTTGGCCACTTGGACAAGTATTGTTAATTTTGGCCAGGTTTCCTTCTCGTAGTATGATGTAAGATCTGATGTGGAGTTTGAGTGGGAACTGGAGTCAGCTCCTTTTGACTATGAGACCTTTTGTTTAAATCCAAGTGTAGAATTTTCTTTTCAATTTTTGTTGACATGTTTCTCTACCACAAGCCTGGTGTTTGCCTGCATGGTAAATGTTAAAATGTAACTACTGAACCAAATGGGAGATGAGTCTAACTAATGAGCAACCTGAGTAAATTAGAGCTGATTGTTAAAGAAACATTTGTGATTTTAAAACAAGCTCTACTAAATCCTTTGCATATATTTCTCTAATTCTATAAGATTGTAAACTTTAAAAAAAAAAAAAACTTCAGTGAAAGACAAAAAATCTAGCTACAAAACTACATGGTGTCTAAATCTAACCCTCAAAAGTGGTTGTCTAAAATATAAAAATATATATAATGTTTCTCTTAATAATTTGACAACAATATACATTAATTGATATAGTGTTCACTCATGCTGCGAGGGACATCTAGTGGTGAAATTGTGCCTTTTTAAATAACTCATTAAAATACTCTTCACAATGTTGCCTATGAACAAAATGTACTGCAACCTGCCTTAGCAGCTATAAAATACTTAAACCTTATTATAGCTATAACAAAATAGATTGCTAATCACAAATCCATTCAAATATTCTAACACACTTTCTCACTTCTTCAAAACTATGTATAAAAAAAATGCATTAGATTTGCCGCATAATAAAAATGATAAGGTTTTTTCTGTGTTCTTAGCCTTTAATCTTTCTATGTTACAATGGTTTGTCTCAATAAGTAAACTATTTGATTTGTTGAAGTTCAAATTATGCAGCCTGTTTTTTTTCATGCACACTTGCCTTCTGTGTTAAATGGCACTAACCTTTCTGTATTATTAAAATGTTATCGCATGATGTTCCAATAAGCTTGTGAATTTATTCCATAATGGTACTAAGTTTTCTCTTGTGATGGCGTCTAATCAACCTCAACAAAACCACTACACAGACCGAAGGTGTTATTACAGCTGGTTGGAGTGACATTTATATGTACAAATTCTGACCTGTTTTTTATTTGTCCTACACAACTCTAAAGCCTGGGTCTGGAACCACTTATTTGGTTGACTAATATTTGTAGACATTCATGGTGACCAGCAGGTGTCCTCATTAGGTCATTTTTGTACATGCACTTACAAAAGTTTACCTCAAGCATCTCTAAAATTAGCTTCCTGTTCTGTCCACGAAACTTGCAAGGAATTTCCAATGAGCTTTTTTTGGTTATGGAGGACTATTTTGGGATTTAAAAGAGCAGAGACCTGTTCTTAAAATGTGGATTTGCCAATCAAGGCTCACATCACGTTATCAGTCTAAAATACTGATGTTAATTCTCCCACAGCTAAATTATTTAGTTCTTTGAACACAATTTGAGGAGGGAATTGTCTTGTTCACAGTAATTTCGTAGAAACAAACATCCAGAATCCTCAGATTGTTGAGCTTTATGTTAATGCATGTACAATCTAATGTGGTGTTGATAGAACATATATCTATACGCTGTGAGGTAGCCTAGTTTTGAATTTATTAATATGATTTTGCCCTTTTTTTGAGTGGACGAGAATTAGGTCTATCCAACCATGTCAGACATTTTCCTTTTGCAACATTAAAGTGATGCAGATGTACAATCAGAATAAGGTATTTATCTCAGGGGAATGTTGGTTGAATCACAGTATGTATCCCAGCTTGATTTTTTAATAAAAATGAAAAACCGAAAAATATAATGAATGATATAAACTCTTTACACATTTCTTCTAAAATAGGACATTATGCATAATGACTACTTTTTACTTTGGAAAAAGAATGTGCCTCTCCTGGGCTTTTAACTTGAAAGATCACGCCGGAAGTTGTGTTGACGCTAACTTGACGGAGTGGCTTTAAATGGGAATACCCTCTGCTGCTGTGGGAGTCTCCTTTAACGAATCCCGTCGCGTCACTGGGATGCGGTCGCCGGAGCCGGGCACATAGCCGAACACCCCAGCTCTTGCTCACTGCCGGTAGGCCTTAATTTCTTTGTTATCATGCACACTTTTGAATTCTGTCATTTTGTCCCTGTTTGTGATGGTACTGTTTGCATGTGGGTGTTATTTTCGCGCTCGGACATCATGCAGCCGGCGGTCAGCCTTAACGACTCCTGGAAGAGCTGAGCCAATGACTTTCAGCGGTAACCTCTCTTACAGGAATAGCAGCTCCCGGGTTAAATTTAGATAGCTTAGAGTTTAAATGTGCTCCGTAAATAATGTAGCTGCCGTGTGGGAACAGGACGCTCACTTGGCACAATGCGTCAGAGAAACCGCAGGTTGCAGGACATCAGTACATTACTGAACAACACACAACCAGCTGGCCTCATGTTATTACAGTGAGCTGACATTGTTATGAACAACGGTATGCATGCATTTCAACATGTCCCATCAGGCCCAGCTGCCCTGCAAACCCAAATTATTTTAAATACATATAGTCAGTCTAAATAATATACCATTATTAAATGAAATGTCAGAATTTAGGTCTGCTTAATAAATAAAACCTAGCGTTGGATTATTTTGCATCCTCAAAATGGTTTTGACTAAGGTACACTGTCTCTTATATCATGATATAAAGGTAAATTTTAAGATTGACAGGGCATTGGTATTTGCTTCTCAATTATGTTTGCGTTATGTTAATATATCTAATGTAATCTGTATGCCATTTTTATATAATATAATAGACTGCATCTAAATATATCAGTTTGGTCATCCTTATACAACTTCTTGTTTCCAGTAATGGAATAAGTTCACAGAGTTATCCATGGCATCAACAGCTAAGTAGGCCTTCTCATTCTGCAGCATATGCAAATAACTCATAACTGATTTGCAAATATAATGTAAATGTTGTACTGTTGATGTTGTTTTAAACTACTGTATGTAGTATGTAGTATCTAGCCTATAGGTAGTGTAATTTATAACAATACATATTATTTACCAGGATTATCACGTGTCTTGTCTTTGAAAGCACACATTTAATATATATAACATTACTGCTCTAAAACAGAGAGAACTATAATTACAGGATATGAAGCTTAGGGAATAAGGGTCGTTTAAATTGTCAATATGAGCTGTTAATTATTCAATTTACGCAGTTTTAACAATTTTTATTTTTTGTTGTTCAGTTCAACTAATGATGTAGTTTCATAAACTCTTTTTAATAAATGTAATTATGTGATTTTAGGGTATTACTAGGTCAAATAGTTAGTTTGTCAGCTAATCTAGCTGCCCAACTACATTTTATCAGGACTCCCCTATCTGGTGTTACTTTTTTAATCATCATTTTTGATTAGATTGACTAACTACATTATCTATTGGTCATATAACACTTAATGTTTGTCGTTCAAAAACGATTTTTCCATCACAGGAGTACAAAGTGGGTATATTATATAATCTCTTTGACCAAATACATGTAGAAGAAAACAGTTTTAGATTGTGATATTGTCTTTGTGTCTTGATCTAATTGTATAGCTAATGTGTTGAGAATAGTTTCCATTGATTAACTATGATTGATTACTCCTTTGTTAAATTTCATGTTCCCACATTCACAAAAAAGAATTAGTAGTTAAGCCGTCGTTGGCAATGAATACCATTTTGGATCTCTTGTATTGTAAGGAGAGGCAGACCCTTAGAGGAGTCACACCCTAACTATCATGCAAACCCAACTTCCTCTCTTTTTGTTCCAATAGTAATCCATATGTTAATCAACTCATACAGATTTACAGGTTGGGTCTTTTATGCACCCCCCTGGGATTGACACAGATTGATGTTCATAGTTTGAATGTCATGAAATGCTGTGAAGAAGTATAAAATAGCACAATACCCAAAGTAGCAAATGCAGCACTATAGCGATAGCTTTTGTTCTTTATCTCATCATTGCTGGTTTGCCTTCAACATTCTTGTTTGTTCCATATATGGTAAAGGTATGCTGTGACATAACGGCTCTCACTTTGCTCAAGTTACCGCATGCCTTTTAACAGTGAGACCCTTGTGCTCGAAATATATCCGCTATGTAAATATGGAATTGGCCCTGATCTGAAATGTGGCATGTTTAAATAAAGTTGTATTCCCCAATCCTAAAGGAATGAGAGAATGTCTTAATGGATAATCATGATAGGAAGTGTATGTCTGGGTGTTTCATATCAGATGCTGCAGTGATTTAAACAAAGACAGAGTGATATTTCCTGAAAATAAACACAGCACACAGAGTACTTGGATTTTTATTTTCCTAAATATAATGAACATCCTGTTATGTGTTAATTCAAACTCTGCTCCATTCCTTCCCTCTTGTAAACATGTGTTTCCCCTACAGCTCATAGCCTCATTAAGACTTTTTATACATTTTAATGTTTCCTCGGCATCGGTTTTGCAGTTTAAATTAACAGTGTGATGTCGAACTGTAAAACCAGTAGGGTGTAATAAAAAAAAAAGCTGTAAAATGCTTCTTTAAATCGTACTGACAGTTTTCCATCTATTTTTCTTAGAGAGGGACCACTCAACATTTCCTCCACCCACCAAAGATGACAGCTCCACCAAACCTGAGCCATGCAGCGCCGCAGCAACAGCGCTTTTTGGTGTTGTTCGACTTTGATGAGACCATCATCAATGAGAGCAGCGATGATGCTGTGGTGCGAGCTCTACCGGGCCAACACCTCCCCGACTGGCTGAGAAACAGCTACAGGGAGGGGCACTACAACGAGCACATGCAGAAGGTCCTGGTCTACATGGCGGAGCAGGGTGTGTCCGAGGACTCCATCCGTTCAGCAGTGGAGAAGATCCAGCCCTCCCCCGGCCTCCTGAGCCTCTTCCAGTACCTGCACAGCCACCAGCAGGACTTTGAGCTGGCAGTGGTCTCCGACGCCAACATGTACATCATCGAGACGTGGCTGGAGCGTGCCGGCGTGCGTCACCTTTTCCGGAAGATTTTCACAAACCCGGCAAGTTTCGGTGACACCGGCTGCCTCGTGCTGCTCCCGTTCCACTCCCACTCGTGCTCCTGTTGCCCTGAAAACATGTGCAAGCAGGTGATCCTTCGAGAGTATCTGGCAGGCCGGCAAAAGGAGCGTGGAGGGGCCCCCTTCCAGAAAGTGTTCTATATCGGAGATGGGGCCAATGATATATGTCCCTCTTTGGCTCTGGGGCCCCGGGACACTGCTTTCCCCAGGAGGGACTTCCCCATGCACAAGCTGCTTCTGGAGAGGCAGCAGGCCCAGGCGGCCAAGTTCAAGGCAAACGTCGTTCCCTGGGTCAGTGGAGAGGACATAGTGGACTGCCTGAAGAAAATAATGGAGGAGAGATGAGGTGTGTGAGTGTGTGTGTTGGTTTAAGTACTTTAGGGGGGCACAAACAGCAAAGGTGCACAAACCCCAGTCCTGGTGAGAAGCAGGACATGCATGATTTTAACCCAGCCACACTTGCTACAACCTATAAAGAGTAGTTTGATTAGAAATATATATTTCAGAATTTCCCTTTCTCATGGAGTTAGATTTTTATAAATCCACCACTAGGATATCTGTACAGTTACTATGTAGACGGTGAAAGGAGCCAGTATAAAGCTTAGTATTAAGAATGTAAAACAGGGGGATACTTCTGTCAGGCTACATCCAAAAGTGATCAAATCTTATACAAATACGTAACATGTTAAAAAAAAAAATGCAATGTTAAGAGACTTTTAGAGGTACAGAAAGACAGATTTCCGAAAATGTTGAACTATTCCTTTAATGCTTGCATGGTCTCAAAGCCTTCTGTTATCTAATTCAAAAGAATTGGCTTGATCAATATAGAGATAAATAGTATTGATGATGCGTATAAGTTCTGGTTTTCGACCGCTTATAATCTTTAAAAAAAAGTTGTGCCTAGTGTGCTCTGGAGGGAGCTAAGTCCAACACAGTCAGCTCAATTAAAACCTCTAAACATCCTTAAATATGAATGTAACTTAGGGTACATTTGCCAGTATCAC